TATATATACATATTTTAAAAAACCAAACCAGGGAAGTATCACAATACCAGATTTTAAGATATACTACAAAGCTGTAGTAATCAAAACAGTGTGGAATTAGCATAAAAATAGACACATAGATCAGTGGAACAGAACAGAGAGTCCAAAAATAAAGCCATGCTTTTCTGGTCAATTAATCTTCAACAAAGGAGGCAAGAATATGCAATGGAAAAAAGACGGTCTCTTTAACAAATGGTGTTGGGGAAACTGGACAGCAAAGGAATAAAACTGGATCACTTTCTTACATCATACACAAAAGTAAATTCAAAATCGATTAAAGACCTAAATGTGAGACAGGAAACCATAAAATCCCCAGAAGAAAACATAGACAGTAATTTCTTTGACATCAGCCATAGCAGCTTCTTTAGAGATAGGTCTCCTGAGGCAAGAGACCCAAAGGCAAAATTAAACAAATGAGGTTATACCAAAATAAAAACTTCTGCACAGTGAAGGAAACCATCAACAAAACAAAAAGGCAACATAGTGAATGGGAGAAGATATTTGCAAATGACATATCTGATAAGGGGTTGGTATCCAAAATATACAAAGGACTCACACAACTCAACACCGACAACAATCGTCTTCATCATCATCATCGTCATTATCATTATCATCATCATCCAATTAAAAAATGGATAGAAGACATGAACAGACGTTTTTCTGAAGAAAGCATCCAAATGGCCAACAGACACCATGAAAGGATGCTCAATATCACTAATCGTCAGGGAAATGCAAATGGAAACCACAATGAGATTTCACTTTACACCTGTCAGAATAGCTAAAGTAAAAGAGACAAGAAATAAAAAGTGTTGGCGAAGATGTGGAGAAAAAGGAACCCTCGTGTACTGTTGGTGGGAATGCAAACTGGTGCAGCCTCTGTAGAAAACCAATACGGGGTTTCTTAAAAAAATTAAAAATAGAATTACCATACAATCCAGTAATTCCACTACTGGGTATTTACTCAAAGAAAAAGAAAACACTAATTCAAATAGATATATATATGCACCCTGATGTTTATAGCAGCATTGCCTACAATAGCCAAATTATAGAAGCAGCCCGAGTATCCATTGAGAGTTGAGTGGATATGCGTGTTACTCAGCCAAGGACCTGAATGGACTTAGAGGGAATGATGCTAGGTGAAATAAGTCAGTCAGAGAAAGACAAATACCATATGATTTCACTCATATGTGGAATTTAAGGAACAAAACAAACATATAAACAAAGAAAAACAAAAAAACAGACCCTTAAATACAGAGGACAAACTGATGGTTACTAGAGGGCAGGTGGGGGGGAGTGGCAGGGGATAAGTAAAATACGTGAAGGAGATTGAGAGCACACTTATTGTGATGAGCAATGAGAAATGTATAGAATTGTTGAATCATTATATTGTACATCCGAAACTAATACAACACCGTGTATTAACTATACTTGATTTTTTTAAAAAAGCAGGACCAATTTGTACACCTGCTGCTCTATCATTTGCTTTCTTCATCTCATGGATAGATTAGGACCATCTTTCCATCTTAGAACATAATAGATCTGCCCTGTTCTTTTTGACGGCTGCACAGTGTTCCCAATTTAGTTAACTGGTCCCTCATTGATAAACCTAGAAGTGTTTTTTGCTGTTACCACTGATGCTGCACAAACATCACTACACATGAATCTGTGCACGTGTTTCTGTGGGCCCGATGCCCAGAAGTGAAATTGCAGGCTTGGAGGGTTCTCCTAGCTAACACAGATGTGGAGAGGAGCCAAGACTAGGGTCTGGGCCTTGGGCAGGTGTTCAGGTGTGCTCTGGAGTGAGGCCTCCCTGCGCTTTGCCAGGCACTGGGGACAGAACACAGGGCCCTGGACTCGGTCAGGGGGCCGTGATGAGAGGAGGCTCTGCTGTCTGTGTCCGAAGGACAATGACAATGACAGGGTGGCATTAAAGACACAGGGGTTCCAAACTAAGACCATGCTCTAGGAAGGAGAGCGGAAAGGGGAATCACCTTCTTGCTTTCGGGTATAATGCCTGTCCTGCACTTTGGGAATCTCAGTGTTATTCCCGTGAGGCACATTTCATAGCCCAGGAAAGTTCTAAAGCCCTGGTTCCTTTAGCTGGACAGAGACAGAGTCAGGGGCTCACACCCAGGTGTCCTACACCCTAAAGGTGGCCTTTTGCAACAACCCTAAATGTTTTAAGGACAACTTCCATTTGTTTAATCAAACACGTTGGTCTCACATCCCTTTCTCATCCTTCTCCCTAAAGCCCTCACAGATTCCAGGCTTAGAGCAAAGGAATTCCTTCCAGTTCTTATCACTCCTTCTCTAGAGTCTAGGCTAATCTAACCTCAGG